GCACCGCTCCTGCCGCGGAAGACTTTGCGTCTTGGAGAAAGACGACACAAATAAGTGTCCCGGTTGGGCTCATACCAAATGCGTTCGCGTCTTCGGTTGGAGACGGTTTTCTTCCGTAAAAACACTGTGCATAACCGATTTTGGGTATGCGTCGCTCTTTGCCTGAGCTGTTGGAGACGGTCTTACCCAATTCGCGACGACGTAAGGCGGGTCCCCTGGAAACATGTGGCCAGGAGATTTCGTGCATTTTGTGGCGCCAACCCAGGGGAGCTTGTGGCTAGACGACCGCGGCATCCGTTTGGTGTTGCGTGACGTGTCATAAAGTGCACCCACCTGCAGCGGAGGGCTAGCACTTTTTTATCCGATCCAGGCGTCCACGTGCTCCTGTCGCTAAGGCTGGGGATATTTTTTTTCCTGATTTTTATGGCCACAAAGTTTTTTTTCCTTCCTCTTCGTATTGATTGATGATGAGTACTCCTAGCTTTCTTCTCCTCAATCCACACTGCATGGCTTTCGTGATTCGAGTCATCTACTGACCTGCATCCACGTGACTTTGGGAGCCAGACACGCAGAGAACGGGTATTGAACAGGGTGTATAAAGACCAGGTTTGATCATGGTTAAACAGCTAACTAAGCACGCATGCAGCACTGCCCAAACGTGCATCAAGACCCTCACCCGCCTTTGCCGCATAGTCAGCGAGCCTAAAACGTGAAACCCGCCCTCGCGGAGTGCATGGAGATGGAGCGCCTAAAAACTGAGTCTGCTATCGCCATTCGCCACGCCACGAGTGATGATTAATTATGGAGGCCCCGGCCGGGGGAGGGAAGCATTTGCAACACATGACAGCGACGGGGTGCCGGAGGAGCAGCCAGAGCCACGAGAACCAGCGGGCTCCCGAACCCTCTCCTTCCTCCAATTCAATTCCCCACCGCCACCGGACTGGTGGATTATTCCCGCCGCGACCGAGAAAAAAGAGCCGAGAAAATCGCAGCCACGAGAAGGGAAGGTGGGGGAAAAGAGCGGGGAAAGTGGAAAAATCCCGTCCGACGTGGCGAACCTGTCCATGCTCTTTTTCTCCCGACGCCTCCCTCCCTCCGCTTTGTCTTCTCCAATCTCCAGTTCTCCACCAGTGCAAACCGGGCCTACGTAAAACGTTCGCCTCCTTCGCTTCTCGCCCTCCTCCTCCTCCTCCTTGCGCGGGTTGAGAGGCCTGAGGTATTGGAAGGTGGCGACCTCGAGGGCTGATCGGCGGCGGCTTGGGTCGGATTGGTTTCGGGAAGTTTGGTCTTGACTCGAGCACCGGAGAGATGGCCTGTTTGGAGGTAATATTTGCGGTCTTCATTCCTTGTCTTGTTTTCCTGGCCCGGGTGGGAGAGATCGTTTCGGGGCGGGGGTGAAATTCACTCGAGCCGATTGGTTTCAATGGTGTTATTATCGCCTTCTTGGGGCCTGAATTTTGCATGTTTTCCCCGTTGCCCACAGCAATTTCCGATGGCAACCGACGAGGCCGCCGTTGCCGACCGAGCGGGCGGTGGAACCGCCGTGGATCATCATCGCAACGACCCTCTCAATCCCGGCGACATGGATTTGTCAGGGGAGGAGCACGTGCCCAAGGTACACCGCAGCGGCGAATCGCGGCCGCGTCGCCGCAGAATCTGTGCGATCGATCCGACCGCGTGTTCTCACTCTGTTTCTTCCATTCCACGCTTGCCTGACCAACCAGGCGCGGAAGCCGTACACGATCACGAAGCAGCGGGAGAAGTGGACGGAGGACGAGCACCGCCGGTTCCTGGAGGCCCTGCAGCTGCACGGTCGCGCCTGGCGCCGCATACAAGGTACGTACCGGCCGTCCGGTCGGCTCTCTCTCTCTGTCTCTGCGCGGTCGGTCGTTCTTCGTCAGGACGAGGACAAGCACTCACGCTCTTCTTCTCTGTTCGTGCGTGCGTGCGTGCAGAGCACATCGGCACCAAGACCGCCGTGCAAATCCGGAGCCACGCGCAGAAGTTCTTCACCAAGGTCGGTCGTGTAACCATTCGCCTCTCTCTCCCAGCCCCAGCGTAAACAAAACGAATTCTTTCATCCCTGCCACGAACCAAAAACAAAACAAAACGATGGGTTGTTGTGTGTCACTACTTGACTCAACGCCCAAGTAAGTCACCCCAATCGTCCATATGCTAGTAGAGCAGGCAGACGATGATCGGCAAGGTGCATGCTTACACCTTTTCTGATGTCGCAATTGCGTCGTGTGCTGCAGGTGGTCCGAGAATCGTCGTCAGGAAGTAACGCCTCCGCGGGCGCCGCGCCGGCGATCCAGATCCCGCCGCCGCGCCCCAAGAGGAAGCCGGCGCACCCTTACCCGCGGAAAGTGGACGGCGGCGCGGCCAAGAAGCCCGCGCCGGAGCTCAAGCAGCTGGAGAAGCCGCCGCCGCCCCTGCGCGACCAGGATGAAGAAGGGTCGCCGACGTCGGTGCTTACCTCGGCGCACACGGTGTTACGAGCGGAGCAGGGGCTGGGCAGCGTGTTCGCGAACAGCTCGAGCGCCAGCAGGTCGCCGGCCCTGTCAGCTGCCGGTTCGGATGAGCGTGGCAACGGCGGCGGCTCGCTGGCCTCGTCGGTGGACGGAGAGGACGCCTGCGCATCACCGAGGACGAGAGCGCCATATACCAAGGTACAGAATAAGAGTACAGTATGTTCTTTGGTTGTTTCGTTCTCGCGCAATTAGGCAGCACTGCAGCAGACATGATAATGGTAAAGTGGTGATTGTGAACTGAAAGCACATGTTCTTTCCATTTTTATTCCTCGACTCGAAAGCAATAAAATAAATAAAAAACTTTCAATTTAGCGACATCCAATACCGAGACTGTACATCTCTCTTTCAGATAAGACTACGCGGCGAAAGTAATTATTCTGGAATCACTTTCGAGTGTCAAGACAGATTTGTAGATATCTCTGGATCATTTTAATTTTTTCGGTTGGGTTTCAGGTGCTCGGCGATGCAAACGAAAACAATGTGATCTGATTCAAAAGAATTGCCACCTGCGATTTCTCACATGTTTCTTGAACGTGGATTTCAGGTGCTCGGTGATGCAAACGAAGTGGGATCAGAAGCTCCAATCTTCAAGCTGTTCGGAAAGAAAGTTGTGGTGGAAGACCTGAGAACGGACTCTTCACCTGGGAGCGTTGCCCAGGCAACCAGAAACGGGAATCCTATCGGTGCCGCAGGAGCGACGAGCTCATGGAATCCGTGGCCGGGCAGCGTGCAGGTGCAGCAGCTGATGTACTTGGTTCCCCAGCCGTGGTTCGGCTACAACGGGAGCCTGCCGTGGGCGGTGTTCTACCCGCAGGCGGTGGCTTCAGCTCAGGAGCAGCAGCAGGCTTCAGAGCCTCTGGATCACAGACGCGCGCAGAGGGAAGGGTCACTGACAGGTTCGAACATGGCGGCCTCCAGCGCCGCCGTGCCGGCCGCGTCGGCGGCGCAGAACTCGGACATCGCGGAGTCCCGCCACGGTCCCGGCGGGCAAGAAAACACCAGCGACGGGTACGCGGCGCTGCGGCGGGCTGCCGCCGTCCCGCGGCTGACCAAGTGCGCCAGCTCGGCTTCCTTCAGCGGGCGAGGGTTCGTGCCGTACAAGCGGTGCGCGGCCGAGAGCGAGGCGCCGCGGCCGGTGGCGCCCGGAGAGGAGGCTGACGGCGAGCTGACGAGGCTGTGCTTGTGACAGGAGCTGAAGCCTCGATGTCAGGACTCACGAGACACGTTTTGGATGTTTGCTAGTTTTGCTCCAGGCCTTGTTTAGATTAATTTTTTTTAATCTGGACACTGTAGCACGTTTCGTTTGTATTTGACAAACTTTGTTCGATCATGGACTAATTAGGCTCAAAAGATCCATCTCGTGATTTACAATCAAACTATGTAATTAATTATTTTTTTTACCTACATTTAATGCTCCATCCATACATCAAAAAATTAATATGATGAAAAAAGAGTAAAAAAACTTGGAATTTAGCGGTTTCTTGATGAGCTGCTGCTGACATGGCTGCACATGCTCTGCAGAAGCAGGTAACCGGTTTTCCAGAAATGGATGAGCAACGCTGGTTCTTACTCCTCGGTATATACGCGTCGTATATACGTATAGGCAAATCTGTACTCATATTCCACTTTTGTTCACTGTGTGATTGTGTAACTTTGCTCCAATTTGAGAGATCCAGGGGCCAGTCCGCCAGTGGCAGACTGTGATAACCTGGATCTCAGAGAGGGTTGTGTGTGTCAATAGTCTAACCACATGTAAATTTACTTGTACCTTCTGGACGACATGTAACAGGCAGAAGCCGAAATGAGCCAGTTTGGTGTTCTGAACTTGGTCTTGGACTCTCCCTCAAAACACTGCACAGATCTATTAATGCACGGCGAGCTGTCCGCCGGGCAGCAATCCCGGCCCCCCGAAATCGGACGATGAAACGAAAAATCCCGAAATCCTGGGCCATACTCTGCCGGTTGGCAGTTTCATCGCGGCGGGGTTAATCGGGGGAGGCGGCGGGCGGTGGCTGAGGGGCCGCGCCACGCGCCACGCGCCGCGGGGGGGGGAGGCGTCACCGGTCGCGCCAAGGGAAGCAGGCTTCGCAGGGGCGGGCAGGGGATGCACATACGGCGGCTACGGCGAGGACGTTCCGGTACGTCTCTGCTCACTCGAGTGAACTAGGGTTAGTCAGCTACGAAATCTTACTTTTGATCTGTGATCGCCGATCGGTGTAGCCGACAAATGTACTCTTGCGTCGCCGCGTCGGGAATCCGCATCACAGGCTCCAGCCCGACCCCCTCGAACACAAACCCCAATTCGTGTAGAATTGAATTGTTGTTGAGTCGAAGTAAAACCATGAACCCAAGTTAATCCCCAACGAGGATATGATGCAGTTTATCTGCTTACTAGGAAAGGAAGCTATCATGATTCCTTCTATCTCATCTATCCTACGAATTTACTCCTGTACATTTTCCTTATCGAGATTATGCTGCCAAGTATTCCATGCTGTTGTACTTTGCAAATACCCTGCTCTCATTCTCTTCCCACCATTTCTGTGCCTCAGCCTCTCCAAAATGCTTCCGGCTGCGAGATCAACATGAGCAAGTTATCATAAAATTTGTTCAATGTTTAGCCAACTCTGACGACAGAAGAGTTTTGCAGAGGCTTTCAGGAGTTCACCTGAACCGGATGCGCTCGATTCCCTTCTTGCCACTGGGGGATGTAACGACTGTAATGTACACCCCACGCTCAATTTGCTCGATCACTCCATTGGAGTCAGTAGGAGCAACTGTGCTATCTGTTCCCCCATCATAGCCTCTGCTGCTATTGGAGGCTCTTCTGCCATTCTGATGCACAGCTGAGTCATCCACCACAACAGTGTTAGAAGATGTTGTATATTGCGTATCCTCTTCCTCTATGTTGTGTTGATCCCTGATGCTGTTTAGCGGTGGAATTTTGCCAGTGACAAGAGTTTTGTCGGGTGGGTCGGGCACGATACTGGAATCATCTAGTTCCAGACCATCTAAAAGTTTATTTGATAAAGCATTCCTCTGCACAAGTTTGCAGAAGATGAACTTATTTGACATCGGACAGAAAAGTTCAAATATATTGAAATTTGTTATTAGTCAGACTTATACCTGATTTGTTAAAATCTTTATAATCTCCTTTGCAGCTTTGCACTTTGTGGCCTCATCCCTCACTATCAACCAGGTTTCCTCAAGTTTTCGCTTATACAACTGAACTTTCAGGCTTCTATGCTGGCATTCTTCTGCTAGAGTGGTTACCTGCTTAGATAAGAGCAAGATCACCATCTGTCTCAGAAAATCAATATTTAAACACAGAATAAAAAACCAAAATAATTCAGTAGAAGAATTATTATATGGGTCCCTGGAAATTAATAAGTTATAGAGATTACCTGTGCTTGAAGCTGTTTCACTTCCTCCAGCAGTATCTTTTCCATCAAACCTTGTTCTTTCCTCCTATCATTAGTAGCTTGTGGCAAAGAGGCAGTAGTCTTTTGTGAGACTGGATCAGTCATTCTCCCTATACGGCAAACATCAATTGTCTGCTTCTTTGATGTCAACCAATGTGGAATGTTGTCTCTTGCACATTTGAATTGATCGGGGCATTCTACCTGTCCCCACCTCTGTTTTTGCATTTGATTCAGAGTGGCTGATTCCTGATTTCTCTGGTTGGGACTTTGTGCAGAACCCATTTTTTCCATGATGAAATTTGCTTCCTTAAGCATTTGTGATAACTTTGGTGTATATGTTCTTGTTTCTGTTAAATACGATTCTTCTTTTTGGATCTTTGATCCACAACTCATTGTGCCGTGCTCAGCTGTTTTATTCAGCTCATTGAAACAAGCATCACAAACACGGCACCTTTTGCTCTTATCTGGTGCAAGGGCAGCCCTTTGAACCTTGTTGCTGCTGCAGGAATTGCAGAACATGGAACCACAGTTGTAGCAGTTGTGCTTCTTCCTTGTAAACCGAAATGCCAACCTGCAACTGCTGCACACAGATTGATCCTTGGTTGAGATTTCCCTGTGCACACAAATTACAGCAGTGAAATTTGAAGAACATGCTATACTGTCCACCTGTTTATCTTCCAGGGCCTCCACTAGAGTTGGGGAGCTCCTGTCAACATAATCCCCTAAACCAAGTTGCCCTTCTGTGCCTTTGCCCCAGGTAAACACTTTTCCGTTCATTGTCAAGACTGCGACATGGGAGCTGCCGCAGGATATATCTTTGACAAACTCAGTCTTAAGTGGCCCTTCAACCATACAAATAGATGAGTTGTCAGATCGAGGATTCCCTAATTGACCATGCTCCTTGCTTCCAATGGTAAATACAACACCTGTTATGGTTAGCACAGCTGTTAGTGACATACCGCAGGATACCTGAGTAAAATCACAATCAATGAGTGGTTCGACACGAGTTGGTACATGCTTTGACTTTTTGTCAATATGGCCCAGCTTCCCTCCATCTGCGTCGCCCCATGTGAACAGCTTCCCACCAGGAGCATTGTTCTTAAGTGTTCCCGATGTTTCCACAATAGCAGCAGTGTGCCATGGTCCACATGTGACAGACTTGGCTCTTAAGCCTCTCAAGGACTCCACTTCTTTCGGCTGAACAACACTACTTGTGTCACCATGTCCAAGAACACCAAATGCCCCATGTCCATATGTGAACAGCTTACCTGTGGAGGATACTATAGCTGTGTGCCACTGACCACATGCAATCTTCGATACAGATATGCCATCTGAAGTACTGATCAATTTATGCGGGAACCATGGGCTTCTTTGACACTGATTGTTCCCGAACCCTAGGCTATGAACCCCTTCACCCCATTCATAAAGTTCTCCTGAAACTGAAACTGCACAGGTGTACTTTGCCCCAAATGCAATAGTCTTCACAGGTGTGGAGGCAAGAGAGTCAATGATCTTAGGATCAGAGACACTGTCACTTGTTTTGTGTCCCAATCTCCCTCCATTTTCCTCACCCCAAGAGAATACCTGACCCTGCTTAGTAACTATTGCCGCATGTTTCTCTCCACAGGCAATGCTCTGCACATCAAGAATCTGCGACGATTTCAATAACCTTGGAAGTGATATATTGGTTGCTGATACATGTCCATGATCTGACATACGACCCAAAACATCACCCCAGACAAAAATGTCCTTCAGAGCATCTGTTGCTGCATTTGATTCCTCAGATTGTTTGAGTTTAGGCATTTGAACAATTCTTTGGTCCTTAATTTTTTCAGCAGATTTTATGTCTCTCAAATTATTTTTTACTTGATTTACCAATTCGGGACTAATCTTTTCCAAGTAGGAATCTAGTTCTGACCATGCTTTCTGTCTTGGAGAAAAGAATGGTTCAGAGCAATCCAAATTACTGTGCAAGTACTTGTTCTGTATCAACCTAGGACTGCCATATAGCGAATGTACCTTCATGAACAAATGATTGGAGAAATTATCATTTGAACAGTACAAGTAAAAGCATCATGCAATTGGAACATATGACAGGTGATGGCTATTTACAGTCGCCAGTCATGGTATAGTACTTAACTAAAAATGTTGCCCCTCAAAGTATATGCAGTTTAAAGGCTTGTGGAACGTGTTAGTTTAATTGCATTAGTGGATAAATTATTATCATCATTTTTGGTTGGAAAATAGTTATAAAAAATATTTTCACTATGAACTATAAACTAACAAGGTAGCCATCGTCAATATAACCTCAACATGATCTAATATGCCAGTCATCATTGATATGTCCTTTTTTTCTCAAGCATGGAATTCAGAACATGCTACTTAGGGTCTGTTTGGGACAGCTCCCTCAGCTCCAGATCCACCAAAAACAGCTTCACTGCCCAAAAAGTTTGCCAAACACTCTAGCTCCACCAAATTTGGATTCACCAAAAAGGTGGATCTGAGAGCCAGATTCACCAATTTGGTGGATCTCCTCAAGGGGTGCTCCACCAAACCCAAATTGGTGGAATTGGAAGAAATTACCCACCACTGCCACTGATTACACAAAGATAACGATTTGTTTCTATTCTTTTCCGTCGCGAGCGCTCTCTCCACCGCGGCCTCCCCGTCGCCACCCCATCACCTCCCCGCTGGCTCCGCCACCCCATGCACCTCTTCGTCCATGTCTTCCCCAGCTCAGGCCGCGCGTCTTCCCCAGCTCAAGCCGTGTGTCTTCCCCAGCGCCGCCCCGCACCCGCCCTGGCCTTGCTCCGGTCACGGCCCCTGCCCCACCTCGCGCCGCCCCGTACCCGCCGGCCAGCCACGAGCCCGCCCTGTACGCGTGCTCGAAGAAGAAGCCGGTGTTTTTTTTCTCCTGGCACGTGGGGCCGAGTGGCAGTGAGATAGAGAGCCAAGGGCAAATCTGGTCATTCCAACGAAAATACCCTTGGGTGGATCTAGAGTTGCTTTGTAGCCAAACAGTTCCCTGCCAGATCCACGGTGGATCTCAGATCCACTAGTGGAGCTGCTCCATGGTAAATCCTAGATCCAGATTCACTTTTTCGGTGGTGGAGCTATCCCAAACAGGCCCTTAGTGTGATGTAAGAAATTTCATGAGCAATGTCAAACTCGCACTTAGACAATGTTATCATGTTTCTGCATAAAAATCAGGAAATGCATGAATTCCAGAATGAACCTTTGTGAAATTTCTTCCATCGTGCACAGCAAAAAGCCTATTCCTTTGCTGAATATAGCTAGGAGGGCTATTCGTGCAGCTGTTTATCTGACGGCTGTTTGTTGAGTTAACCAGAAGTAATGGGGTGCATGGCGCTGATATTAGGGCTGTAAGGCCTAAATACCAACATTCAGCTTGATCTCTATCTTTGCAAACCTGGGTTAACATGATCCCCAAATAAAAGGTTGTGTAAGTTAAATGAGTAAAGAGATTACAAAATTTAAACCATGTGGACTACTGCATACCAAGTCTAGTGAGGATTCGCCGTTTTTGTATATAACTGACAAGGAGTGAGATTCCTTTTCTGGCCAATGCAGACGCAAAAATTTTGTCTGCAAAATATTGAATTCTTAGAAAATCAGTCTCTTCCAACCATAATGTGTTACTAGTAAAGGGCCAAGGGCTAATAGCATATATTGTGAAAGGGAAAGTCGCATACAGTCTTCTGTCCAAGAACTACACTGGACACTGAATTCAAGCTTAAACGTTTTTCCCTCTCTTTGGAGTGCCATATTAGTGCCCTCTCATCCTGCAAATAGAAAATTATCAAATACATAAGAGAGCCAAATATGGTATGTAAGTGTACAGATTGAAGATGTTCAGTTTCAGTTTACTCAAGTTGGTCAATCTATAGCAAGCTTCTGAAGCCTAATAAAACCAAAACTGAGCTTGCTTCAGATATAGTTGAGCCGGACAAGGAGGAACAGTAATCTAAGAATATAGCTTTGGCCTGTTATCAGTGCCACACTAGGTTCAGTTTTCTTGCTTTTTATGTAGGTCCAGTTTCTATTTGTTGTTTTATCCTTGCCTAGTCAGATGAGTTGCCTAGACTCCTCGCCATTGTAACCTGTAATTAATATTTTCCTAGCTTAAATGAGAAGACAGAGCTCCAGCCTCCAGTCAGTTTTTGCTAGAAAATATACTATTGGGACAGAGTGATAGAGCCATAACGTGCTTATTTGGTTGATATATACCTGAATAATTGTTGGAGAAACAATTGGAGCATGTCCATTTCAAATTTACCAACAGAACTTAGCATATGCTTTGTTTTTTTGTCAATAGTAAGAAAACAAGGATAGCTACAACAGAACTTAGCAAAATACACCGAAGAGGTTCTGGTCATTGATAACAAAGGAGATGGTTGAGAAATTGAGAACTGAATTTTTTATCTTAGAGTCTCTGTCAAGCGCCTTGGCACTCAACGACGGCGGGCCGCGACTACGTAGTTCGTAGTCGCGCTCCAGTCCTCACCGCGAGGTTATACCCCTCTGCTGGTGGCTTAACGAGAGTAGAGGTAGGAGATTAGATGATAACTGTTTTTCTCTCTCTCTTTCATTGTTTGGAGTCCAGGGAATATATGAGCCAACCGGCTAACAAACTTGGAAACAAACGATCCTAATTTTAAGGCCTAATTTTCTCCTAGCCACTGGGTCCGGCCCTGCCATCCTCGTCCGAGGTGATCGCGGCCCTTGCCGCGTCGCGCGCTGCAGCCCGCTCTGCTGCCCTGCGGATGTCTCGCGCCCTGCGCTGCCTTGCGAATGTCCGGCCCCACATGACAGTCTCATTAACCCTAAATATAGACTTGTTTTAAACTTCACATGGATTTGCAAGACGCATCTTACAGATCACCAACAAAGTTCAACTTCATGTAATTACATGAAAACAATTCACGACCCAACATAGCCGAGCATTAAGAGAAAAGACTACCAAAGCAATACAGCTACCACTGTAAGTAACATTAGATGGAATCTCGTGTTAAAAGTTTTAAAAGATCAGTGTTGCAGTGATCAATCCTATGTCCTTTGGCAGTCAGGTAGTGGACTTCAGAACCCTATTGGTCCTTAGTTTGCCAATAAAACATCGGGCAAAATATTAACTGAAAAATAGACACGTGAATGCAAGGTTGCATAGCACAATGTTTCATTGAAAGCAAAATATGAAGCAAATGGAAGAAAACGTGTAAACATATAGCCAAACTACTCACATAAGATAGTCTGACAGTGCAGAATTTGGGTTTCCCTCTCTTCCCACATTTCAGGAGATGTGCACCTTTCTTGAGAGTAATAATGACCTGTAGGAAGGAACAAGCTGTCAACCACAAAGTGCTATTCATCTAAGATGCATCTTTCCCAGCATTGATATTGTCTTGTACATACGAAAACAATTAAGCAAAAGGACACAGACAAGAAAATATATATTGAACAGAGCTGGGACATATGCACAAAAGGAAACTCCATGTTTACATTCAGGATTCTCTTTCATAAGAAATCAATGCTGTCTAATGCATATATGCTTTGTTTTCTGAACAAATTGCAGGGTATTTATTGGCTCCCCCGGGGAAGGAGATGTGCAGGCCAGGAAGAAAGAACAGATCCTGTGATACGAATGGCATGCAGCGATGAAACATGGAAACTACAAGAAGCTGCAGAAGAGAAGAGGGACAATAGGAGGATGAAAACTGCAGAGCAATCTTATGCGTAGATCTGCTCGAGGCACCACAATTCTCTGGAAGAATGCGCAAGAAGAACAGCTGCATACCTGCTCGACTCCTCTGGTTGTGGTTGCAGAGCTCCTCCACTCCAAGCCCCCAGCCATTGCAGGTAGCTACAACTACAAAAGATTAAGCGGACGGAAAGGCCGGCAGTGCCTTGAGGCTTGAGCGAAGTCCAGGTCCAAACCTCCTTTGATCAACAGTGGGGATGGAGCAAAAGATGGCAGTGAAGTGACGGAAAGAGCGCTGCGAGGAAAGAATGAAAGCGAGCAGGAGGTAAAGAGAGGAGGGTGCAGAGGTTGAGGACGATGGACTGAGCGTGCTGCCTGCTGCGCGATTCAAGGGAGCCGGAACGGGAAACGGCAGCGATTTCTAGCTGTGCGCGCTTAAAGAGGAGAGAGGATCAGAGGAGATGCAGTGTCACGCAGAGGGTTCACATGCATACAGCACACAGAGACAGTGAGACAGAGGACATCTCCGTGCGCCGTGCGCGGCAGAAGCACAGGTGTACGTACTAGTTAGTTTTTTTCCAACATAGCCTGTTCGCTTGCGGCTAGGTATTTTTCTCAAACCGTAAAAACAGTTTTAACCGGTTTTTCAGCCGACTCACCGAACAGACCGCTACGGTACAAGCCACCCTTTGGCCTTTAGCTCTCATTGCTGTACGAGGCGTTTCTGAAGTGTTGGATTTCATGTCAGGATCTGTCGAAGTTGCAAGCAAAGCCCCGAGAAAATCGGCCCTTGGCGTCCTCTTCGCGAACATGTGACAGTACTTTGCTGCCCTTAATAAGCGGAGTATCCGGTGCTCTCGACATTTATCCGACTGCATTAACAACGAAGCATTCAATCAGAACAGCTCCCATGGACGTGCAAAGTCATCCACCCTACTCCTATGGAATGGTCAGGTCGCATTTTGCTTGTCCTGCGGTGGTCCGGGAACGTGAAATCTGCATGTAAAACGGGCATGGCTCTGGTCGTTTGGCAAGCTACGGAGTAGTAACAGGTGGGCAAGCAGTTTTGCAGCCAAACGCTAGGATTCTTCATCTGGAACAGCAAATGATGGATGATGGCCTTGGCCCAGACCCAGACCCAGCAGAGGGCGGGCGCGGGGCGGAAGAGGTTGATAATGATAGTAGGAGCAGGCTAAGACCATGATCGCTTGTTTTATGGGCTGTACTGTTTTAACAAAAAAATAGTATTTTTCTTTCAAAACGAATCAGCCAACGTAGCCCTGGCTTTTCAGCGAACGTAGCCAGCGGAAGAGATTCACAATGATAGTAGGAGTATTCGCTTGTTTCATGGGTAGTACTTTTTAAATCAGCGAACGTAGCCATGGCTTGGCTTTTCAGCGAAGGGGACCAGGCCTGAGGACGCAGCACGTGCGCAGCGCAGGCAGGCGCTGCCCCCGCCCGGGCCTGCACGGTTCCGCTGCCCGCAAACGATGCCGTTCTCGCCTTCTCGGACGGAGGCTTTGCTGTCCTGATGCGGTTTCGCCGAGCTGTAGAGTGAAGTGTGGCCGATGGCCGTGAGCCTGTGACGGACGCAGACGGCGACGTCCACGGGGCCCTCCGTAATTGCTCTGAACATCCTCCATGAATCTATGGGTCTGTTTGCGCCATGTTCTGCTGATGGTATTTCAGCTGATTTCAACCGATTCAATAGCGTTTCTTTGAGAGAGAATCAACCGAAATAAGCATAAGCCGACTGAAAAGTAGACGAGCAAAACAGGGTGTTGGTTGAATGCCCAACCCTTGGTCTGGTTTGCTGGAGCTAACTTAGGCTTGTTTGGTTGCCTATAGTTGGGCTTTAGCCTGGCTAAAGCTAGCCACTGTACGTCACTTGGCCTAGCTCCCCAAGAACGAAATCCCGATCCGTTTTTCTGGAGCCAGTCTTAGTCAGGTGCAGGTTCCACTCCCGTCATCTCCCTTCGCGTCCTCTACACTTCCTCTTCGCTTCCTCCGGTGTCGTGCCTTCTCCACCGTCGGCAACGAGCGCCTCCCTACCCCGCCGTCCCGAGCGCCTTTCTCCACCTCCGGCCCTCGCGCCCACTGCCGGCCCTCGCGAATCGCGCCCCCGAGTGCCCTACCCCGCCGCCGCGAACACGGCCCTCCCCAACGGTGGCGCGAGCGCGAGCCATCCCCAACGTCGCACCCATGCACGTCCGCGCTGCCCCCGGTGGTCCTGCGCATGGTTGCGCCACCCTCGACAACCTCGCCCATGGATCTTGCGGATCCTGGAGGCCGGGGTCGGCGACCGTGCCGGTGTTAGGAGCGGCATCGCCGGGGGAGGGGTCGCAGGGGCCTTGGGCGCCGCCGCGGGAGAGCCATTGGGCGCCCGCGCGTGGTTGCCACGGCGAGGAGGGCGTCCATTGCCGTGCTGCTGCCGATGGCGGCCATGGCGGCAACCGGCACCGGGGACGATTCCAGCGGCTATAGGCGACGCGAGCAGGCAGGGTGGTGCGCAAGGGCGAGGCGAAGCTGCGTGCAAGAGGAATCGGGCGGAGGTGGCGAGATTGCCGGCGGTGAAGCAGAAGGTGCTACTGTAGCGATTGACAGCACATCTTCCTCTCTCTCGTTCTCTCGATTTTGCAAAACAACTTGATGATAGTCTTTAAGCAAAGTTGTTCATCGATCTGAGATCTCTAACATTGATTAAAGGACCAACATCAAAAACTTGTTGGTTTCAAATATTCTAAGTTTTGAAAACATGAAAAACAAACTGAAAACAGAATTCAGGCTTGATATAATGTGCTATAGGGGGTGAAGTTGTCAGGAAGTAGATAAGATGATTCTATCTAAGCCAAGTCAGGGAACGAAACACATCAATTCTAAACAAGATTTAGGTTGTGTTCGGCTGGGATAGTTCGGCTGGCTGGTTCACTTTTTTTCCAGGCAGAACAGTGTTTTTCTCTCACAAAATATCAGCATAAACAGTATTTTCATACCAGCATGAACAGTACTTTTATACCAGCCAAACACTCCATTAGATAGTCCATACAACCAAATAAGTGCACGTTGATTTAATAGGACGAGACCAAACCTACCTAAGTTTTAATCTAGCCAGGCTTTAAAGGGGACAGGAACCAAACAGGCCCTATGTACCCCGTGCAGTACTAGTACGTGGTACTGCTGCTTCGCTCACGACGTCTCCATTTACTGCCCGTTCATCGTCATCATCGATGTGTCCGTGTGCGTCGCCGAGAAAGGACTGAGGGCGACCAAACTGTACAGTAGCCACTAGCCAGCGATCTGGTAAAGCACAGAGATTTTACTGGACCACCTGTGCTGCCGTAGCGAATTGTATGATGCTCCGATCGAACGATGCTGGTGAATTGGTGATGTTAGCAACTACTAGTCATATCCTCCCACATCCAAAGACAGCAGCAATCCGGCACTATTGATGTGTCCTATTCTACTCTTGATCTGGTGTCCTAGTATCTAACTGTAGCTTCTGATTGCTAGGCTTTGCAGTAATCTCCCAATATATACTGGTAGCTGCGTCAAAACTCGCGAACCTCACAGTAAATCAAACCAAAAGATTCACGGCTGGGCAATGGAACTGTGAGGGGACCGGGCCTGGCATGTGAAGCATACCCATCCATCCTAGCCCCTCCTAGGTGAAAGAACGTATCACTGACACTGATTCGACTCGGCATTATGGGTGATTTGGCCTAAATTAACGGCGGTGGTTGATGCTACCAGTAGGCAGGTCCCTCTCCCTCGGCGAGCTGGGCCTCATTGCTACTGATGATGATTACTGAAAATACGGAGCACTGGTGTCGTCGCTTCATACCAGGGGTTGGTAAGATCTGGCGATCTGGCCATGTCGTCCCAGGTGCGCGCGTCCTGTTCAGTTCTTCAGATTCTTCAGGCAACGTACCCGGAACGCATCATCAGTGGCGCTGCTTTGCTTTGACGTTACTGAAATTTGGGCACCAAAATCTGCCAGCTTCCATCAGTTGCTACCGTCCAGACGAATGTGCATTTGCGCATCTACAATCCAGAGTTTCTGGGCATACACGTAGGCACTGTTGTAGACTTGCAGTGCATGCATTTCCCTTTCGGTTGCTACCGTTCAGACGAAGCCGCCAAGCGCGACGAAGCGTGCATGCAGGTTGCAGGGCAAGTCTATTTACAGTGCTCATTACAGTGACAGAGCTGTCCCCAGGCAGCACAACAATTCGTGCGAGGGTGAGCATGCATTTGGCACAGGAGGATCAAAAGGGAGCCATCGATTGCTGCTGCTGCTCTCTCACCTCGCTGCCTCCTCTTTAGGGCACCCCGACAACATAAAGCTCTTGAAAGCGAGGCACACGCCCCGTTCTTGCCGTCCGCTCTGCGATGCTCCACCACGAAAGATCCTCCAAAGCCAAAGAGGAAACAGGCGTCTGAATGTTGCGTGTTTGTCCCCCGTTCTTTGGTCATTGTTCAGCCTTATGAACTTGTACAGTATATACGTAGGAGCAGTGCAGGTCGATGGCTTGTGATCTGCTAGTCTTTCTTTAGCAAAGCCAGGTTAGCACTGATCTGATCTTGGGGCTGTCGCAATTATCGTCCAAATCTCCGCGGTGGTCCTTTTTGCTGCCCATGCCCTACCCATCTTAGGTTCGCATTGATTCGCAGGGCCCCTTCCAGCCCATGCGTCCTTCCCCGCGCGCGGTAATAATAATTCGGTGTCAAAAGAAGAGCACGGACGAGACGAGCGATCGATCGACCGGTTCAAAAACAGTGAAGAAGAGCAGCGTGCTGTGCCCTGCCCTGCCCTGCACACCCCAAGTCCCGGGACACGACTCACACGAGCGTTCCATTCTTCTTTGGCGAGTGTCACATGTCCTCGCCGACACCGACGCATGCGTCCGTGGTGGGGGCCGCTTTGGTCTCACCCAAGTGAAAAGAACCCCGCTCCATCGAGTAAGAACCGAATCTTTCAACGTACTACTCTCTCTCTCTCTCTCTATGTGTGCGGGCCATGGATGACCGGTTGAGGGTGGAGACGTACATGCGGTGAAAAGGTGGGTAAAGAGAGACACGGATGACCGGTTGAGGGTGGTCGCGTCGCGGGCCGGACATGGCGTGAACACAACAAACGGCCATGGCGCGTAGGG